GGCATGATTTTCCACTGATTGCACATAAGTAGCATCCGTTACCTCTGCTGACGAAACTGTTCTATGGAATGCGGGTTCTGTAAGCAAAGAAAGGTGTCCAGGCAGGTGATTCTCTGGACCTTTCACTCCTCCTTTCAACTTTTTTCACTCCTACTCTCAACTTTATCACGAAGGTGATGGTGTTTTTGGTGTAAAAAGTTGGTGGGATTTGTGTTATGAGAGGTGAGAATACCGACTACAGTCAGTGTTGGAGAATACTGACTGCACTGAGCAACTCACGGGAGGACCTATGTGTCAACACAGTGCAAGACTGGCCTGGCCTTGGGAAGTTGGGGCAGACCCAAAGATCACCTGGGAGTTCAGGAGCAAGTTCAGAGGATGACAGTGGAAAAGGGAGGTCCATGTGTGTCAGCACGGAGACATCAGGACACCAAACAAGGTCAATCAGACTGGAACTTCAGTAAATGTTTCCCATGATGCTATTTCCTCATAACCACCATATTCTCAATGTGTGGACCTATTTCACTAAGCTGCATCAGAGAAATCAGTTCACTGGACTTCAGAAAGCTCCAGTGTCTAAACAGTCTAAAGGCCCTCCCGTTGATCGTCGATTTGCTCGAGCGGGCCCAGTAACGTCTCCATTGGAGACTTTGTTGTTACTGTGTCTGGCATATCGAATACTCTCGGTAGCTTGCCGGGCTCTCCGAGAGGGGCGGAGGAATCGAACTCGGGTCGGCTATGTTGGCCGCTTGTAAGGTGAATGCCCAACCTGCTGTGCTATCACTCCAGCCCTTGAAAAATAAGATAAAGATAAGATAAAGGCCCTCCCGTTGATCGTCAATTTGCTTGAGCGGGCCCAGTAACGTCTCCATTGGAGACTTTGTTGTTACTGTGTTTGGCATATCCAATACTCTCGGTAGCTTGCCGGGCTCTCCGAGAGGGGCGGAGGAATCGAACTCGGGTCGGCCATGTTGGCCGTGTGTAAGGCGAACGCCCTACCTGCTGTGCTATCGCTCCAGCCCAGTCTAACACAGTTTTATTTTCAGGTGTACTGTCCACCTCAACACGGTTGGTGATTGATTATAATTCACACATAGATGCACTATCTGTGCTTCCTGTTACATCAAATACTCACATTCTGCAAAGATTTGCTGATGAAGCAGCTGATAAAGTCCCATTACATTAACCCTTATTTTTCTCCCATAATTCTGTCTTTCAGTGCTTTTCTGACATGCAATATAAACCCATCACTTGTTAGAATACTTGAGGCATTAAGATAATATTAGCATTCTTACCATTCATATTAAGAATATTCATATTCTTTCTGTTCATAAAGAATGACATATTGCAAGTCAGCAATATAAGTATCTGTGGCAGCTAGCTAAGGGAATCATAAAAGAATTAACATCATAGGCAATTTTCCTTTTAAGTCAAGGTCCGTCATATTCAATGAACTCAAGCCAAGATTGAGTACATATATCTAAGACATACATTAAATAAATTGCTTTAGAAAAGTAAAAGTCATCAGTGTCAATCGCACTAGTGATAGAATAAAGTATTGGAGAAAATAAGATTGAACAATGGAGACTTTGCATCAGGGGGAAAGGTTGTAACATCTATCTAATAGAGAAAAAGATACAAATAAGCACAGATATAGTTTTGCCATTGTGGTTATCTTGCAGTGCTCAAGATGGAATCCAGAGTCTCATAAATGCAAGGCAATTTCCTAAAGTTGAGCTATGTCCTCAACCCCATTAGGGAAATTTTACATTAGTTTTGATTTTTGCTTTGTTTTTCAGTCATATCCTGCAGTGCTCTGGTCTTAGTCGTGGCTCTGTGCTCAAAGAAGACTCCTGCCGGTGCCCTGGGGACCTTTCTGGTGTCAGAGATTGAAACAAGACTGACCAAATACAAGATAAGGGACTTAATGGCTATACTATCTCGCCACCCAAGATATGCTATTTTCAATGTACTGTAAATGTATATAAAACTAGTTAAGGGATTAATTGCCAGAAGATATGTGTAACTAGAATAGGATTGAAGTTGAAAAATTTTGGATGTCTGGCACTCTTTACTAAATTTTCTTACTAAGCTTTATGAAATAAATGCAAATAAAATGATTCTGGCAGCAAAATGCCTGATGGATCATCCCCCAGATAGATGGATATATAGAACAGGGCTTAATAAACTTATACGATTTGCATCCTCTTTGCTCTGAAAAATGTTCATGTGATGCAGGCACAGGCATATAAAATATGAACACAAATTAGTTACTGATAATACATCACAAATAAGCTTCTTTTAAAACTCTTTGTGATCTGCTCACAATCTAGAATAGAGAGTTTTGATGAAGTTGTGCAGTTTAGTGAGGGACACCCAAGGAAACGAGTTGATACAGTGACCGTGGCGATAGGACCGGACAAATCCCAAATGGAAGATCTGTTGAATTAGCACAAGTGACTAACTGGTGAAATTTGGAGAATTAATGACATGCGAGAATCATAAAATTTGAGAAGGATAATGAGTAAAATGAATCGGAGTGACTCCCATCTTTTAGCAAACCGAGCTTTGGTCTGTTGTACAGAAGTCAATTAGAGACCAGGATATAGATATAAAAATTGAAGTTGAGAAGGAAAAAGAGGAAACCATGCGTTTTTTGAAACAGTTGTTATAACAGAAACATTTCGTTCAAAGCACTAAAGTGACATAAAGTCTACCATCCCTTTTTAAATTTTTTTTCTAGAAGTAAAAAGAAAAAAAGTTCAGACAGTGTATACTACAGAACTTTCTTTTGAAAATAATGTATAATGGATCACAAAACTAAGGTGAGCAAATAGGAAGCATATGGGGGGGGGGGATGAAAAACACGGAGACAAGTGATAAGGGGACTCCGGTCTTGGACACTTTTGCTGTCCATAGTTGTGTTACATTAAAACTATACACATAAACAATACTCTAAACTATACTTACATCTAAAATAAAATTCTAATAAAATATTTTTGTGGCACTGAATATTTTAAAGAACAAAAATCTGTGTTAATAGATATGATGATCACTGTTAATATTATTTAAAAAATACCATTTGTAGCCTGAAATTTTATTTAAGTATTCTGTGATGGTATAGTGGTCACTGTTTCCCCCGAGTGTATGAGGGTCTAATACTAATACAATGTCCAGATATATACTGCCCAAAGAAAGATGACTTATTTATTTGAATAAATGATGAACACTTACTACGGGAATAAACTTCACGAACTAAACTCCCTAGTCTGGGAGACACTGTAGGACCTATTATAAAATTATGAGTTTAAAAATAGGCAGAACAGCAATTGGGCCTTTATAGAGAAACCACGTTCTTTGCTATTTTTAAATGTATCACTATCACGTCGTTGTTCTTCAATTCGCTCCAGCGGGCCCAGTAACGTCTCCATTCGTCCCTGTCAAGTGCAAGTGTAGTAATTTAAATGTATAATTTTAAAAAATAAATTTTGCATGATTACCATCCCTTCTGAAATACCATTATTTCCTGGCATCTAATCCTTGCATTAGACAAGACCCTCAGTAGGAGACGCGATGAAACCTTCTCCTCTTGGAGACCAACAGAATCTGCATCGTTCAGAAATAGTTTAGAAATGCGGCTTCGAGTCCAATTCCAAGTTACGGAATCAGCATCTGCTTCCAAACACATCCCCAGAGCGTTTGAAAGGAAAAAAAAAAAAAAACCTGGACAGACAGACGCTTCTAGAAACCCACGTCCCTAACCCATGCCACCAGCTTTGCAGGAGATAGTCCTGAAGATGCACCGTGTTGTTTAACATTTGGAGGGCATTTGTTTAACCAAACGAGGTCGTGCCAGCTAGCACGCTGGGCACCTCGGCATGCAGGGGTGCGACCTTTAAGCTCTCGGAGGCCAGGCGGGCTGCGGTGTCGCTCTCCTGCCCATCACATTCCCACATTCCGCGCGCCCTGGACGCTCCGGGGCGCACGGCCGGCCCCGACGGTGCGGGCGGCCCAGGGGCGCATCGCGGGGGGGCTGGAAACTCCGCGAAAAGGAGGGGGCTGCGGAGCGCGCGTTTCTGCGCTGAAACTTTCCACTCTTTCACAAAGTTGGCACCGGGAGTGGAAAAGCAAAGGAAAGCGGGGGAAGGGACGGGCAGGCCAGGGAGGCCGGGGTTCGGGGTGGGTGGGCGGGGGGCCCGGTCTGCAGGGAAAGGGGCGCAGCGGCCGGGAACGTGGCAGGAAGCGAAGGCGGGTGTGCGGGTGGGTGGGTGGGGTGCAGGCAGGAAGCGCGCCCGGCGGGGAAGGTGGGGAGGGGGGGGCGCGCGGGGGTCCCCCGCCCCCCGAGGCCTCTCTCCACCCCCGGACCCGCCTCCCGTTCGGGGCGCGGCGGCCGGGAAGGGGGGCGGGGAGGCGGATCCAGCTCCCCAAACGCCGCCTGAGCACGGCCGCCCGGGCCCGGGAGCGCGGGAAGTTGCGTGCGGCAGTTCCGGGGGGTCCCGCCGGCGCCTGGGTGAGCCCCTCGAGTGCGCGCGGACCCCCGCCGCCCCGCGCCGCCCCGCGCCGCCCCTCGGCGCTCAGGAGCGCGGCCCCGTCCGCCCCCAACTCGGTCCAGGCCCCGCTCCGGGCAGCGGTGGGTGGGAGGCCGCGCGGCCGGCACCCGCGGGGGGCCTGCGCCTTTGGGGGCGTCGCCGAGACCGGGCGCTCCCGCGTCTGCACCCCGCGCCCAGGACCCCCGGATCCGGCCCTCTCCAGGCCGCGGCCGCTCCGAGGGGCCCAGCGCGGCCTGCGGGGGTGCAAGGAGCGCGTGGCAGGCCGGACACTGCAGGCTGGGCCGCGCAGCGCAGCGCAGCGCAGGGGACACCGAGCTCACCGGGACCCCCCACCCCTGCAGCCAGCCCCTGGCGACTCCCGGGGACGCCGGGCCTCGTGGCCTGCGCCTGCAGAGGGACCCGCGGCGCGCGCGCCCCCAGCCGAGGGGACCCCGGGACCGACCCGCGGCGATGCAGGTGGATGCCAAGTACCGCCAGGCCTCGCTGTACGTGGGCGACCTGCACGCCGACGTGACCGAGGACCTGCTGTTCCGCAAGTTCAACGCCGTGGGGCCCGTGCTGTCCATCCGCCTGTGCCGCGACGCGCGGACGCGCCGCTCGCTGGGCTACGCCTACGTGAACTTCCTGCAGCTGGCCGACGCGCAGCGCGCGCTGGACACGCTCAACTTCGACGTGCTGCAGGGCCGGGCCATGCGGCTGATGTGGTCGCAGCGGGACGCGCAGCTGCGGCGCTCGGGCGTGGGCAACGTGTTCATCAAGAACCTGGACCGCTCCATCGACGGCAAGGCGCTGCACGCGCGCTTCTCGGCCTTCGGCAAGATCCTGTCCTCCAAGGTGGCCCGCGACGAGCGCGGCGGCTCGCGGGGCTTCGCCTTCGTGCACTTCCAGGAGCCGCGCGCGGCCGAGCGGGCCATCGAGCGCATGCACGGGGCGCGCCTGGGGAACTGCACGCTCTTCGTGGGGCGCTTCCAGAGCCGCCAGGAGCGCGCCGCGCCGCCGCCGCCGCCGCCGCCGCGCGACTTCACCAACGTGTACGTGAAGAACCTGGGCCCGGCCGTGGACGACGCGCGCCTGCGGCAGCTCTTCGCGCCCTTCGGGCCGACGCTGAGCGTCAAGGTCATGCGCGACGGCGCGGGCCGCTCGCGGGGCTTCGGCTTCGTGAGCTTCGCGCGCCCCGACGCGGCGCGGGGGGCCGTGGCCGGCCTGCACGGGCGCGCGCTGGACGGCCAGGCGCTCTTCGTGGGCCGCGCGCAGAGCCGCGCCGAGCGCCAGGCCGAGCTGCGGCGGCGGCGCCGGGAGCAGCCCCCGGGGGGCCCCGAGCCCCAGCCGGAGCAGGAGCACCCTCCCAGGCCGGGACCCGCGCCGCCGCCGCCCCCCGCGCCCACCAAGCTCTACGTCAAGAACCTGGACGAGGCCGTGGACGACGAGCGCCTGCGCCGCGAGTTCGCGGGCTTCGGCGCCGTGAGCCGCGCCAAGGTGATGCGCGAGGACGGGCGCAGCAAGGGCTTCGGGCTCGTGTGCTTCTGCGCGCCCGACGCCGCCGCGCAGGCCCTGGCCGCGATGAACGGCCGCCGCCTGGGCTCCAAGGTCCTCAGCGTCGCGCTGGCCCAGAGGCCCTGAGGATGCCCGCGACCCCCACCGCGGGAACAGGAACGGGCTGACCCCTTGGCCGCCCCCAGCCAGCCAGGCCTGCCGGAGAGGGTCATCCCTGCATCCCCTGTGACTCTCGCTCGAGTGTGCCTGCAGACGGGGTGATGCCCAGCCCTATGTACGCCCCCCTGTCCAGGTCTGCAGGTCGGGGACAAATCCCTGCATCCCGTGACTGTCGACTTTACCTGCAGACGGGGTGATGTCCAGCCCTAGATGTGCCCTCCTATCCAGGTCTGCAGGTGAGGGTGATCCCTGCATCCCCCATAACTCTCGACTGTGCCTGCAGACGGGGTGATGTCCAGCCCTAGATGTGCCCCCCTATCCAGGTCTGCAGTCGGGAACAAATCCCTGTATCCCGTGACTGTCGACTTTACCTGCAGACGGGGTGATGTCCAGCCCTAGATGTGCCCCCCTATCCAGGTCTGCAGGTCGGGGACAAATCCCTGCATCCCGTGACTGTCGGCTTTACCTGCAGACGGGGTGATGCCCAGCCCTAGATGTGCCCCCCTATCCAGGTGTGCAGGTCGGGGACAAATCCCTGCATCCCGTGACTGTCGACTTTACCTGCAGACGGGGTGATGTCCAGCCCTAGATGTGCCCTCCTATCCAGGTCTGCAGGTGAGGGTGATCCCTGCATCCCCCATAACTCTCGACTGTGCCTGCAGACGGGGTGATGTCCAGCCCTATGTGCGCCCCCCTGTCCAGGTCTGCAGGTCAGGGACAAATCCCTGCTCCCTCATAACTCTCGACTGTGCCAGCAGACGGGGTGATGCCCAGCCCTATGTGCGCCCCCCTGTCCAGGTCTGCAGGTCAGGGAAAAATCCCTGCTCCCTCATAACTCTCGACTGTGCCAGCAGACGGGGTGATGCCCAGCCCTATGTGTGCGCCCCCCTGTCCAGGCCTGCAGGTGGGGTACAAATCCCTGCACCCCCGTGACTCTCGACTGTGCCTGCAGACGGGGTGATGCCCAGCCCAATACAGTCCCCCTATCCTGGCCTGCAGGTGATGGTGATCCCTGCACCCAATGAATACCAACTGTGCCTGCAGACGGGGTGATCTCCGTCCCCATACGCCCCCACCCCCCAGCCAGGCCTGCAGGTGGGGGGGGAGCTTGCCCCATGTGAGTCTCATCTGTGCCTAGAGAAGGGGCTGATCCCTGCCCCCCCAAGACTCCCAGCTGTGCCTTCAGAAGGGGTGATCTCTCCCCCTCTTTACGCCCTCCTTCGCCCCATCCATCCCTGCAATTAGGGAAGATAACTGCCGACTGTCTCTGCATCTGGGGGAGATTCCTTCCCCCCATATACCCCCCATCCAGGCCTGCACGTGGGGTCCATCTCTTTCCCCCAAGACTCCCGACTGTGCCTTCAGAAGGGGTGACCCCCTTCTATACGTCTGCCCCCACCATCCTGCAATTAGGGAGACACGGGTCTCTCCACGTTAACTCCCGATTGTGCCTTCGGAAGGGGCTGGTCCCTGTCCCTGCATCCCTGCAGATGGGGGTGGTTCCTGCCCCCAAATCCTCCCAACTATCCCTGCAGGTGGGAGAGATCCCTTACCCTGCAGATGGGGTAAACCCGACCCCCCATGTCTCCTAACTGTGCCTCCCCCACTCTCAACACCCCCTCAACCAGCCCTGCAGATGGGGTCGAACCCTGCTCCCTGCCCCACTTCACTCTGAACTGTGCCTGCAGAGGTGGGCAATCCCTGCCGCCAGCGGTGCCTGCAGGTGGGGATGAGAACGAGCCATACCCCAAACTTTCCCCAGACAGTTCCTGCAGGTAGGGGGAGACAAGAAACCCCCTCATCATGCCCCCCCCCCACCAGTGCCTTTCTCACCGTGCCCCCTCCCACCGGTGCCTGCAGTTAAGAATGGTCCTTGGCACCTCTGCAGCAGAAAGTGGGGGACTGTTAGATTCTTCTCCCAGCCAGTGCCTGTCCCCAGTACCCAGCAGCTGTGGGTTTGAGTGGCCCCATCTCCCTGGCCGGGGTCTGCAGATCCCCGCTGAAGGCTTGTCGAGTTGATTAAATGTTGTGATAAAAGGTTTTTTTTTTTTTGATAATATACTACTTTTCTTTTAGGGAAAATTCGATGGATCTTACAAGCGTGTTCCGTTTAAAAAGCCGCACTTCCTCGCACACTTTCTAGTAGCGCGCTTTTCTCATTTTGATGTATTCCGAGCAATAAGGATAATTAGATATATATTTTATTATGCTTTGAACCAATTGAAGTCAGGTAATTGTTTGAGTTGATCACATATGTTCTCTCTTATTTTAATACTATGTCTAGTTTTAATTTCTTCTCTGAAGGTTGGCCCCAAGTAAGTCTCATGCTGGAGAATTGCTAAGTAATTTATTTTTACAGAAGTTTTCTAATTTTTTTTTGTGTGTGTAAGTAAGAAAGAAAAGCTCAGTGAAGGCTTTAGTTCTTTTTAAGTTGATATTTCCATTCTGAGGGAAAAATTACAGTTAAGTTTATATTCTGACATTGTGTGTTTTGTTTTTTTTCCCTGACAAATTGAAGTTAATAGTGGAGATTTCTAATGCTCTGTACAATCCTGGGATAGAGAATATTGTGCTAGTTTCTCATCGACTGACTTTTTTCTTTTAAATCTAAATTGTGACTTGCAGAGTAAAACTTAACCTCCACATTCCTCAAAGTATAATCCATTATCAGATGAGGTGGTAAGCTTGTGGCCTGCGAATGATTCTCTGTACCTAAACATGTAATAGTATGCCTGAAGTTTTGACCAGATAGCCAAATTGTTACTGAAATCAGATGGGTAGAAAATAGGAAGTCTGTGTAATAGCTTCTGTTTTATTATTATCTTTTAATTGTTTCGTGTAGTGATGTTGTCTCAGGGTTCAGAAAAGTAAAAGTTTATCTTATGAACTCATGTCTCCTTTCATTAGACTGTAAGAGCTATGTAACCCATTAGGGTCCACTTTTCGCTTTGGTCAGAAGTGCACTTAAGTAATTAGCTGATAAATTGAAATGACATCATTGAGCCTGTTCTCCGGCATTATTTTTCATTTAGTTCCATTCCCAGATCTTCCTTTATCTCCTGCTTTTTGTCTATTATTATTCACTATTTTATATTATTCTGATTCCTGTCTATAGTATTGATTCTGTATTATTCCTTTTTATACTCTTTTAAAAGATTTTTTTATCATATTGGCTTTTATTGTATATTTCTAAGTTTGAAATTCACTTTGGAAACAGAGGCAATAGTTATTCGTTTCAATAATCAAGTTGCTTTTAGAATTCTCATTCACTTACACCAAAGCTACCTAGAAAATAATTGTGCTGTTGCTGGTTTTTTTTTTCTCTGCTGAGTTGATTCTTGCAACTTTATATTCAGAGTTGTGCTTCATATATTAGAGTATTAAAGAAATATTAAAAGGCCTTTTCGACAATACTTTTGTTATGAAATATGGCGAGACTTTTTATTTTATTTACAGTAACTATTCATCACACATTTGCTATGTTAAAGGAATCTTTTGTGCAAACATAAGTGAGGGGAGAAGAGCAGAAGTAGAGATGAATCACTGCCTTGAGAAATAACTGCTTCCAAAGCAGAGCATTTAAGCCATGGTTAACAGACAACAGGACTAAGAAGTATCATATGTGAGTTTAAATCTTAATATCTCTTTCCCAATCATTCAGTCAATCAAATTCTTCAAATATTTGAACAATCTCTCGTAATGTGTGTGCATGGATTATCAAGATTAAACCTGGGAATTGTGTTCCCCTCCCTTAGGTGCTAAGGGATTAATAGGATATAAAATCAGATGTCTAGAGGAATTGTGGCTGCAGCCCCCGATCCAGTACCCGCTGAGGAAGAATGGCATGCTTTTAATATCAGTCATGAAAAAAGCGACCGTCTGACACAAGAGCATCTGAGTCTATGAGTTATCTTGATTGGTTGCAATTTTTCTGATTCCAAATTTTGTGTGTGAGTATGAAGTCGTTGTAGATGGCAGGAGAACTTCAAACTTTCAAGCAAGTATCATAGTGCCCAGAGAAGTGAGAAAGATGTAAACAGGGTGGGGAACATCCTGGTAAAATCGGTGTGTACTGAAGGCTTGTAAGAGTCTCCACCTCCTTGCACCCTGCTTTGTCAAGGTTTCATATGGATGCTGTTGCCATGTGCACCCAATTTAATAATGTGCTTTTTTACATTTTAATTGTTCAGTGGAAATTTATGGCTGGTAAAAATTAACTTTTTAAAGTTGTTTAGAATTGGTATGTTCATGTTTCAGTATTTCTACAAATCCATTGTGAAAATAAAACAATAAAGTTAAATCTTCCCCCTGATAATTGTGCCATGTCTAAAGATGATTTTTAAAGTTTAATTATGAGTATTTTCCTTTTGTCTTCAGATCAGTTTCTCTGAGGAATAAACTGTAAACCAACTTGTATTGTAAAATGCGGATCCTTTTTACGTCGTGTTTTCAAAGATCAACTCATGTGAATTAGTATTCCTTGTGCAACCACTGATCATCTTGGGAATGTGATTGGAAATTATTGTGAATGTAATTGTTCAAGTGCAGTTTGTTCCGTTAACATATTAGCATTAGCTTCCTTGCATTGTATTTTAGAAACATACCTCAATAAGCAGTTTCTTGAAAACAGATTTGGAAAAAAAAACAGAGGTAAAGGATACATTGACAAAATATTAATATCCCTGGGAAGCCTTTGGCATAAAAGAAAATCCGGCTTCAGAATGAAAAAGGAAATGTTATTCACATCTATGCATCTTTTTAGTCATCTTTATTTCCCTCTGGGCCTTTGGTACCCTTTCTCCTAAATTCTCCTCGCCCTTTCCATTCTGTATCTTTGCTTCCTCATCAGTGGGGCGGATAGATGGCGGTATGGGTCTCTGTCATCACATTGGGACTTCGAATCATCCCACAGGCAACACTTTGCCAAGGAACCATTGAACAGCACTCCTCCCCTCCTTAGTGATTCA